GTCGGCAAGTCTGGCAGATTGAGTGGATTTAGTAAAATTTTGAATGTTTACAACTCTCATGCCCCTCCCCCACTATCAACGGATACCCTCCCACCCAGTTCATGCTCGTCAGTGCCAGCTCTGGTCAGTGCGTGTGCACCAGATTTTCAGTGAACGCCAGGGCTCTTAAGTGTCACGCATTGAGCGTGACAGTCACTCATTTCGTTCTTTTGTCACGCTCTCCCGCCACACATTGTATTTCTCACGCTGAAAAACTATTTGTAATATATTCAATATGCCGCAGTGGCCAAAACTCTGGCCGCGCCGCTCTCACTGTGGAACCGCCATGAATCAAGCGCGTTTCCTCTGGTGTTGTTCGTCGAGCTACACAATAGCCAATCAGAAAATAGCACTATTGTATCTGGGTAAGATTTAACGCAACAACCAATGACAAAAATCAATATCCTACCCCCGTCGGCTGGGTGTCACTCTTACCTGTCTTCAAAACTTGAGAGCCCTGGAACGCGCCCGTCTCATCAGCATCCATCAACACCATGGAGTATTTGGAGGTATGCTGTCCTGGCTAATGTACCGATAGATTGCATTTGCTGACGTCATTTATACTCTAAATGAGCTTACTTGATTTTCCGCCATCACTCTTCGTTACTGCGCGAACTTCCGCGAACTTCAGGCGTGTGCATGTGATTGTAACGTGCGCGAGGGGTGGCGTGTGCCCGATCTGTGATTGAGAGTCAGATCTCACAGCCCCCTGCGCTGATTGGACATGATGAACCGGGAGCTGTGGATTTTTGCAAAACAAATAACAAGCTCCAGGTGGAGTTAGAAGCTCGGGGTTTTTTCTAAAACCACTTTATTTATGTTGTTCTGTCAGATTATAGTGTCGATTTCACTGAATATGATCAAAAAAATGTTCCCGACGGCAGCTTTAAGATTTTATGAAGTTATTATGCAGAAAATGTTTTGACAGGATCTTATAGACTCACTCAGACATCAATAATTAGCGTATGAATCTCAACAATGGTGACAATGAAAAAAATTCTGACCTATTATAAAGTCACAAAAAGGCTTTGTTGATTGTCACCATTGTTGAGATTCATATGTTGATTCTTGATGTCTCTCTACTCCCTACAAAATAAACGAACTCAAAACATTTTATGTAGAATATATTTTTTTAATTTGAGATTGCTATAATACTGATGCCACAATATTTTAAAAAAATCATGTGAATAAAGTATGATATTAATAATTGCCTTTGTATAACACTAAAGTCCATCAATATATAATTTATTCACAGCCAACAGGGATTTGACTGTCATATGACTATAAAATCATCAATAAATGACCAAGATCATCTGATATTTTCTCTTGCAATTATTGCCATAATAAATGTGCATCAAAACACAGTTAAAGCAGCCAGAGAAAAAGTAATATTAAAACGCAAGAGTCATGAGCCCTACTAAAGCAAACACTGATCTCAATCATGGTGACATCACATTTCTGTTAAAGTTTTTTACACTTTATTTAAATTAGGATATTTTACTTTAATTGTATGGTTTTTGTTTGGCAGCCGTAGCTGCCAGTCATTTGACCCTTTTTTTACGATTTTTTTAAAATGAAGGTATATGATCATAATAATGCAGGAAATAGCTGGGAAATAACAGGGTTTTTTTTGTTTTATTTGAATTAGAAGATTTTACTTTAATTTTTTATGGTTTTTGTTTGGCAGAAGTAGCTGCCAGTCATTTGACCCTTCTTTTACGATTTTTTTTTCAATGAAGGTATATGATTGTTATTTTACAAGTATATCCTGAATTATCACAGTGTTTTTCAGTTTATTTAATTTAGGATGTTTTACTTTAATGTTACAGTTTTTTGGGGGCTGCCAGTCATTTGACCGTTTTATCATTTAACTGTTTTGTTACTGTTTAATTACAGATTATATTTGTAATTTTACATACATTATTCAACGACTGGGACAGGGGCTCCTAAAGCCATTAAAGACAAATGGTGATAGTCTCAGTAATCTGATTAATTTAACTTACAATAGAGAGATCAGGACAGGCAGGAATCTCTTGCTGGAAACTCTGATATAATCATCATTTATACCTCAAATACTAAATTCAGTCTACTGAAATTTCTCAGTTTATATACTATTGTATTGGAACCTAAATTAAACATTTAATAAATTTGTAATACAACACTGTCAACGCACCCGTGTGGATCTTCACTGTACATCAGGATTACAGTTACTACGACTTGGAAGTATATACAAAATAAGCTCTCTCATAACTTGCACAACATAACTGAAATTTACTATAATGACCATAACAAAGCGAGAGAAAAAAGCACAACAAAAGGAAATCCATAACTATGGATGAAGCGAACAAATGTGCTACTGTTATGGCAAGCCGTTTTAGCTTAAATTGTACCCAGCGTTACTCATCGTATTTGCATTTTTACTAGTAAGAATTGAATTAGAGAGCTCTACAATTCAATTCTTACTAGTATCAATTACAATTACAATCCACACACATGATATAACCTACTAGCCAGGACTCCTTCTTTATGTGTACGGACGTGAGGTAATGACACAAAGATGAACAGGAGAAAACTCACTTTTTTCCACGAAAACCGACCCGACATATCAGATTATAACACATTATTACAAGCGTACAGTTGTGAATCAGGCTAAGATAAGGAGATAGTTTTGAACACTGTTATGTACTTGCTCAATAATTTATTTTGAATCATTTTTAACCAAAAAAAGTTACGGATTGCAGCTTTAAGTAGTATATATATATATGTATAAAAATGTGTTGTTTATTCATCTTTCTTCTGACAGTCTTACTAAAAGGATAGACAGAAGATCTGCTATGAAGGAGGTGAGATGATCTGAATTCTTCAGTGTTTTCCTGCATGCAGAGATGTTTCCTACAGCCGCTATGAGCCGTACAGAGATGTTAAGAGTTTAAGACACACGAGTCTCGTGTCCAAACACCTGATTCTTCAGTTCTAGATCCAGTAAAACTGATTTCAAGATCCTCTAAACATCACAGTCAGCGTTTAAAACATGAACTCACAATGTGTGTGTCCTTCTGTCTCTCCTGTAGATCTCTGATCCCAATGAAGACACATATACAGCTCTTGAGCTCAAGTCCACGACCTCTGACCTGTACGACACACTCACAGTAAGTGAGACGTCAGTCAGATACTCCATCACAGATGATCACATGACCGATCTCTCGCTCTCTTTCACACAGACCGTTGATCGCAGACCTCCTGAAGACTCTTATCCTCAGAGCTTTTCTAAACATGAGAATCCATCAGTAAGTGTCAGAACCTGCAGCTCTTCTCAATAAAATCAATAAAACTCTCTTCAGTATAGTGTGATTGTGTTATGCATCTTGTGAAAGGTTTTATAATGTTGTTTAATGAACTTCAGTCAGTCTTTCTTCATCTTATTGTTTGTTCAGATCAACAGGAAGTGCAGAAAGAGGCGGAGCACAAATGATCCAATCCTGAGATCTGTGGGCGGAGCCACACATGATTGACAGGGAACATCAGCAATGAGTCACAAGATATTAATTTCTGTATAGTTTAAGAAACATGTAACAGTGGAATTAAATGAAAATTAAAAGCTGGTGAATTATCGCTGTGTAAAAAATATATAAATGAAAAATGCTAAAATTAAGTCAGAGGAGTAAAACACCTAACGTGATGTTCAGTGGTGAATACAAGTGCATTTCTCTGCTTTTAAATAATAATTTATAGTTTTGCCCTAAAATACTGAACAAAATCATAATTATGCCACTTCACAATGGACACTATCATTTTATAATCAATATTATCAGCTTATTCTGTCTTTGGTGTTCCTGTATCTTTCCCTTTAAGCAGAGGTGTATAGTCCAGGGGTCAAAGAGTAAAAGTCCTGCCATATGTTTCTTCCACCCATGAACTCAGTCAGCTGATTTCACTAATTAGTTCTCTCTCCTGTCTGAATTAGCAAATCCAGGTGATTGGAACAAAATACTGAGGAGGACTTTTACTTTCTGAACAAGGACTTTACACCTCTGTCCACCTTGATGAGCCTCACCTGGAAATCACTATCATTCATCTTCACAATTATTCATCTTTAACTTACAGAAAAGATCATCGGTTTTCTTTAGTTAGTTTTAGTTCAGTAATGTTGTTCTCTTGTTGAAGGAGGGACTGTGATATTTCTGTTGCTGGTCATTAATAAACAGTGTTAACCACACAAAGTCCTTCACTGTGTAGAGCTAAAGTGCTTGTGTCATACCGTCAGTCATTTGGTTGCTGTTGATCTGATGAGCTTCAACACGGTAAGACAAACACACTCTTGCTTAAATAAAACTGATGATTATTGCTCATATAACATACGTGTCTTTACATGAGAAATGTTAAGAATAGGGGGATTTACATATACTTGTTTAAGTGATGAATATATTACCGCAAGTATTCGTTACTTCAATGAGCTCATTGTTTCTGTATCAAATTATGACATTGTTTAAATTAATATATATTTTAGCTAACTGTGATTTTGTATATGTACATTTCTGAAATACATAACTTACAGTTACATCTGATAACAGATCACTCTAAATTGTAATGTAGACTCGTGTATTTTCTCTAAAGCTGCTTTGAGACGATGTGTATTGTGTAAAGCGCTATACAAATAAATGTGAATCGAATTGAATGGTGTATTATACATGAATTTTATGCTGATGATTATATTAATGCTGTATTATACATGAATTTTATGCTGATGATTATATTAATGCTGTATTATAGATGTATTTTATGCTGATGATTATATTAATGCTGTATTATAGATGTATTTTATGCTGATGATTATATTAATGCTGTATTATAGATATATTTTATGCTGATGATTATATTAATGCTGTATTATAGATATATTTTATGCTGATGATTATATTAATGCTGTATTATAGATATATTTTATGCTGATGTGGGTCAGAATGGCTCCTCCTCTTCCTCTGATCTTCTTTCTGCTCATGATTCACGGTGAGTCTCTCTTACATTCACATTAGAAACACTGATGTTTTATTTAAGGCGTCATGAGTGGCTGATCTGCACTTTCTTCTGTCCTGTACTCGCATATTTCTCTCTGAAACAGGAAGTTTGTGTTGAACATGTCAAACGCTCGTCCCTTTTAGAAATGTCCAATAGTCTTTTGCTACTTGCTAGTCAGTGTCACATGGTTTAGGGGGAGGGACTTTCTCAGTTCAGAGCATTTGATTGGGCAAAAATCACTATAGCAGCAGATCATGAATATTTTTGGCTCATGTTCTCGGAAGTGAATGTGTGTATTAAATATTTATCATGTCAAAGGAGTTCACTAGCATAAATGAGCTCTGAGCTGATAGATAAGAACTAAAAGCCTCAAAACTAATATGTTGTCATCGGGTATTTAATAAATCCACTTTGATTATTTTCTTTGTCTTATTTTTCATATATTTCATTATTTGAGAGTGCATCATGTTGTTCATTGCTGACTTCTTGGTTCTCTCTTCACTCTGTCTCTGTACATTTACTTCTGCTTTTCTGCAACACTCTCCATCAAAGCTGATGAAGAACTTCCAGAGGTGTCAAAAGTATTCACATTCATTACTCAAGTAGAAGTATAGATACTAGGGTTTAAAAAGACTTTTGTAGAATTTTAAGTATCAACTCAAGCTTTTTACTCAAGTAAAAGTGTAAAAGTACTGGTTTCAAAACTACTTAAAGTATAAAAGTAAAAGTAATGTAAGGAAAAAAAAATACATTAAGGACAAAAGCTTAGACCGCGCCACAGGGGACTATAGTGCGCTACCACCTCCTTAAAAAAAAAACATTTTTCTAAAGGCCATAATGACTATAATGTTATATGAAAATGTTAATGTTGAAAAATTTGGGATGCACTGTTTCATCCGCATATATGCCCATAGAAAATGAATTTCAGTTTTATTTCAATTTTAGTACAATGCAAATACATTAAAGAACCATATATGTGTACTACTGAGCATTACCATGTTTCATGGAGCGGAAGATAGAATCACATATCACAGAAAACTTTCTGCATTTTTACATTTTCAAAAAAAAATTCCCCACAAGGATTTCGGATATTACCATCTTTGTGGGGATATTTTGACCCTATAATAATGTAGGGTTGCAAACACGCACACACACACACACACACACACTCTCTCTCTCTATCTATCTCACACTAACACACTCTCTTCTCTCTCTCTCTCTCTCTCTCTCTCTCTCTCTCTCTCTCTCTCTCTCTCTCTCTCTCTCTCTCTCTCTCTCTCTCTCTCTCTCTCTCTCTCACACACACACTCACACACACACTCTCACTCTCTCTCACACACACACACACGATTATGGCTGTCTCCAAATCAGTATTTGACGCGATTTGACCCGTATTCTTGAGCAGAAAACTGTTGATTTCTCCGTCGCTTACCGCACATCTCTAGGTTTCTTTCGGAGGAGTTTTGCCACTTCGCACAACCAAATGTAACTATAGACTCTCACAAGTTAGAAACAAAACACAAAGCCAATCAGTTTAGCGATGTGTGTTCAGGAGGCGGGACTCGGATCTATTATCCGTGTGTGTTATTGGCCATTTTTTTGAACGATGACAAGCCGGAATGACTAGCCTGGATGTCAGCCCGAACCCCGCCCACAACATTTTTTGGTCGGGAAGTTCGGTCTGGACTCGATCCATTGAGGAGTAATTATGATCGGTTCAGAATTAGTCGGGCCAATCAAATTGCCAGGGCGGGCTTTATACGATGATGGACAGATGATCTGCAGGGACGTAATCATCACTTTATCAAAGAGCGCTTGGGTTGAACTGGTTTCCCTCAGAGATGACTGCCGCTGGAGAACTGAGATGTATAGATTCCTCTATCGCGTCTGTTGTAAAAGAAATCGACAGCGCATTCATTTTAAAAGACGAACATAGAACTGCAATCAAGGCATTTGTCGATCGGAAAGATGTGTTTGCCGTCCTTCCTACGGGATTCGGCAAAAGTTTAATTTATCAGCTGGCTCCGATGGTCGCTAAGAAGATGGGACGCAATGAAAACCCTGCGGTCGTTGTGGTTTCTCCTTTGGTCGCACTCATGGAGGACCAAGTAAATTGGTTGTAGGTCTATCCAATTGAGTGCAGAGTTTTTTTGTTTTTTCCCTGGTTCGGTTAAGACACGCCTCATAATCAAAGCCCTATGGAGCAGTATCAGACTCACATTCTGACTAGAATATGAGTATGACGAAGTCAGGCTACGGAATGACAACAAGCCGAAATGAAATGGGAGTAACGAGGCTATTTTTAAAATTTAAAGAGTAGAAAGTACAGATAATTGCGTGAAAATGTAAGAAGTAAAAAGTCGGCTGAAAAATAATTACTCCAGTAAAGTGCATACCCAAAATTTCTACCTAAGTAAGGTAACGATCGAAGTATTTGTAACTTCTAACACTGAGATCGACAAGACAATGTTTCAAGCTCAATGACTGGACAGACTAATGTATTATAGTTTCACAACTTGTGTCAGATATATGTTATTTTTGATAAATCTAAACCGAACTCTTATCGGACAGAGGTTTAGATGTTGATCTGTCATTTGAAGTCACCAGAATCGTGATTATTGGCAGCTTTACTCTTGACGCTTTACTTTGCTGTAAAGCTTTCTTTGACTGTTGTAACTGTATTTTTATAAAATTTGTTATGGCAGGAGAAAATATGATCAGATGTTTATTGATGATTATATAATCAGTTGTTCTCCAGGAGGTATAAAAAAATAGTAGCTACAGATTAGCTAAGAGTGAACTTCCACATTCGACTAAGCACTGCTAATTACTAATTTATTCATCAGAGTTTTTTGTTAGTTACAGTAATAGTAGTTACTAGCAGAGGTGGGAGTAAGTCGCTAAATGCAAGTCTCAAGTCAAGTCCAAGTCTTAACATTGCAAGTCCAAGTCAAGTCATTCTGTTGTAAGGGTCAAGTCAAGTCAAGTCAAGTCGCAACTTAGTCATCAAGTCATACCAAGTCGCACACAGACTAGTTTTACACATTTTTTAACTCTGGGACTTTTATTATTTATTTAGCTGATGGGTTACAAAAATAAATAAATTAACTTGTGTGTAATAAATAAAATATCATTAAGCACTTTAAATGCTCTAAAATAAAAATAAATTAAATGAAGACAAGTAAACAAGAATTAATAAAAGTTTTCCCATCTTGTAAAAAAAAACTAAAAAAACTAAAAAGATATTGCATTCTAAATTAGTACTGTATGCCAAAGTTTGTATGTTCTTACTCTAAATATCCAGGTGATTTGATCCCATAACACAAAATATTATATGGAAATTTTAAGATAACAAATCTAATAATTTAAATAATTTAAACCCGACTATTTTTAATACGTGGGTCGTTATAACTGACGTTCTCAACTACTTTCTTTATTACTTTCTCCCGCCCGCAGCATTTATGTTTTGTCCCGCTCCCGCCCTCAAAATATATACTTTTTTTTCTGTACCTCCAAATACTTTCAAGTTAGCCTACGTGTCACATCAGCATAAATGCTCCTGATAAATTATGTGTTATTAAAGCATTAACACACAAACCACTGTATAAAGCAGCTACTGCGTGCAAAGTTTGGCATGACTGCGCGCAAAGTGCGCTCCCTTAATAATTCCTAAAAAGCTGACGTCAGTTCATCGCGATCTCACACATCTGCTATTATCAATGAAGCTTTCATAATATATACACTTTGTTTGTTATAATTCGAGGATTTGCCAGCATACAGAGCTCAGCACTGAACAAAACGTCCGTTTTGAGCGGTGAGGGGAGTCTATCTTAAATGCTTCTGATTGGCCATTGCGTTCCTAGAAATCAACACATATGTCTGTGATTGGCTACATCGCTCAACGCTGGAAACATGTTATGAATAGAAACTCTGGCCTGTAAATCGTTTATATTTTGTTTTAGTTGTGCTTTTCTGCAACAGATGAATAAAAATGTATTCGTTTTTATGTTTTATTCATAGATATTTCTAGTTTGCGGGAGTCCCGCGAATCGTTTTATTCTCAACCCGCACACACAGAGTGAGTGCATTACCGCCCGCGTTCCCTCATTCTTAAATATATATAAAAAAATCACAATAATTGAACTTTTTTTTCACAAGTCATTTCAAGTAAATAGGCACAAGTCAGAGTCAAGTCTAAAGTCAAGTCGAGTCTTTTCAGAGATCTAGTCAAGTAAGTCTCAAGTCCAGAAAATTGCGACTCGAGTCTCCCACCTCTGGTTGGTAGTGTTCATAGTGCGTTACTCATTTGTTCCTGTGTAGTTATTTATTAATGATGGAAAGTGTTACCCAAGCAACTAAAGTCACAACAAAAACAACAACAAAAAATAAAAGCAAATAGTCAGAACAATAGGAATATTTGTTACGAGTGGTGGTGCTAAGAAATACACACGATGAGGAATAACTTTGGAAGGAAGACTTTACTGAACAAACACATTGGAGAAACTCTGGAGAAAAACACAACCAAACATTAACGAGAACTGACAAACACTAAAGGAGAACACAGGTATATATACATGTGGCAAACACAGAGAACTAATGAGATAATTAACAACACACAGCTGAAGCTAATGAACTAATGAAGACGAGATGATGGAAACCAGGAGTGGCGGGAAACTGAACTAAATGAACACAGAAGGAAGTCCAAAAACAAACAGACATGAAACAAAATGCAGCTGCATAATTTATTCATGCCGCAATGCATGCTGGGAATCATGGATGAGTTATGTGGCTCCCAGCATGCATTGCTGCATAAAACTTTTCGTTTGTCACCATTGATGAGATTTATTTGCTGAATCTTTACATCTGTGTGTGTGTGTGTGTGTGCGTGTGCGCGTGCGTCGAAGTTAAGATCCTATTCACACTTAAAGTGCAGATAATGGCAACATTGCCACTCTCATGTTGAAGAACCACAATATATGCATAATAAAGACACCGTTACAGCAACAAAGAAAAGAAAAGCTAAAATTAAAGATTCAAAAGCTCAAATAAAGCTGACACTAATCGCGATTCTGACTTCAACTGAAACATTCAATGAATCGTCAACACAAAACCTGTAATTCTCAATAAGAGCTTCTGTAGAGTCTGACAGAAATAAAGTCAGTCAGGGGTGCGTTTCCCGAAAGCATCGTTAGACAACTATGGTTGCAAGTTCCGTCGTTACCAATAGAGTTCAATGGGAATTGCGATCATAGTTGGATAACGATGCTTTCGGGAAACGCACTCCCGGTTAGTAATAACAAGTGAAAAGTACAGAAAATGCAACATTTTGTTTTAAAAAGACAAGAGGCATGACGTGATTGGCTGCCAAAAAAACATTAATCTTTAGGTTTTTTTTTTTATAAATTTAGTTTTTATTTATTAATTTATTTTAATTTATTGTTTTATTTATTTTACAGCTTTTTTTTTCATAAACACAAACTGCCCTCCACCCAGTGCTATTCTATCTAGAGTTACTTTTTAACACACATTGTGTGTTAAAAATCTACACAACATGTGACAAAATACCATCAACACACTCTGTGTTGTTCTCTTTTTACAGTGTATGAATTCTGTGTTTCAGGGGTTACTAGTGCTGATAAAGGTTGGGGTGGTTGGGGTCTGAGTTACAGTCCTTCACACATCTGTGCACTAAAGGACTCAACAGTGATAATGAGATGCACTTATACATACCCTACTGGACATCAGATCAAGAAAGTGTTCTGGACCAAAACACTGGTAAAATATCATGGAGAGTTTCCAGATCTGTCTAATGACCCTGAATACAGTCAGAGGCTTCAGTATCTGGGAGATAAACAGCAGAACTGCACCGTCAGACTGAGTCATGTGACACTGAAGGATTCACACATGTACTATTTCAGATTCATCACTGATAAACCTGATGGAAAATGGACTGGTAAATCAGGAGTGACTCTTACTGTCACAGGTGACTTTGGTGAGGTTTATCTCTTCTTCTGTGCATTATGTTGAATAATAATCAGTGTATGACAGCAGCACTAGATATAATGTGTGTGTTGTGTTCAGATCTTCAGGTGGAGTCTCCTGAGAGAGTGACAGAGGGAGATTCAGTCAGTCTGACATGTAAAAGCAGCTGCGCTCTGACTGACAGAGCAACATTCATCTGGTACAGAAACTCACAGCCATTAACTGAGAGAAGAGACAGAAACAATGAACTCCTGCTGCAGTCAGTCAGAAGAGAGGATTCAGGCAGATATAGCTGTGCTGTAGACGGACACACTCACGTCTCTCCTGATGTTCAGCTCAATGTCACGTGTGAGTGCAGATTCACTTTTTCTCTTTCTTTGAAAAGCTACAGAGTTTAAGACATAATGCTAATAAATGATCAGTGAGTTTCGTGGGAGCTCTTGTGTTATCACTAAAATCTGGAAGAAAAACAACAGATTTATATCATGTGTCTCAAAATCAACGGATTTCTAAGACTGAAAAGGAAACGATAAAGATATTTTTTTCAAATGTAGTGCCAATTAATAAAAATGGTCAATTAATAAATGTATTATTGTAATTAATAATACATTTATTATTATTATTATTATTAAAGTAATTAAGCAATTGTCAATTAATAAAAATTGCTTATGTTTTTATATTTATATATTTATATACATCATTTATAAGTATATAAATAACAAATTTACCATAAATACCAGTGGCGGCTGGTCAATAGAGGGCGCTCTCCTCCCTCTAAACAAATGTAACATTTAGTTTTTCCTCAGTTTTTGTGGTTGCATTTGTAGTGGCAATTTTAATGATATTCATTGATCTTTAGTAAAATATAGATGATTCAAAGAATGTCACATGTGTGTCTCACTTGTAGTGAGAGAGGATTCTGTTTATGTACCTGGGGAGGCAGAAGAGGGAGACACTCCAGAGAACAGACGAACAAGGACCTCTGACCTAGATGTCAGAAGGCCATTTTGGGTGCAGGGGGGCTTAGTGGGCCAACTAGTGACGTCTATGGAAAACTACTGGGAGGAAGGCTCTGGGGGGAAGAAGGCCTTGAAACTAAGATAAAAGCTAGTTCAGTCTGTCTGGGGCTGTGTCACTCTTCTGCAGGGTAACAACTGTGTATTAGACTGCTCCTATTCTTGCAAGAATAAATACTTCTATTTTATATAATTTGACTCTGAGTGTCTCTTACGCAGTGATGTTTGTTTGAGATGAATTTTTGCCACAACACATTATACATGTAGGCCTATAATTGTGAATTATAGTATATTGTGTATATTAAGAAAAAAATAATAATTAATCTTTAAAAAAATCTTGCAGAAAATAGTTTTGTGAGAATCATTATAAAACTTAATCCAGAACTTGGTAAAACATTTATCTAGAATTTGAGAGGCTTGAAACATTTGAAATACAGTCCCAGTGAGATAATGTGATGATCCCAGTGACATTCTTATACGGTGAGATTCACAGTGTCAGTAATAGGCTTGTTTGAGATGCGCCTTGGCCTTGCCTCGCCTGAAATGTAGGCGGCTGCAGTGAGAGGAGGAGTGAAAAAACTACAGGCAAGCCGGACAGATCTGTCTTCTCGCAGTGGATCAGACACCTATGAGATCAAAGGCGGATATCGCGGGATTCACATTCGTGCAGGTGTTGATTAACCTGGTTAAAACCAGACCTTATTCTGTAGAATCACAGGCTGCTGTAATCAACAATGTACTTTTAAGGCAGAGATTAGACTTTATATGAGTTCAGTGATTCAGGTCAAATTATGATTGTCAAAACATAACCAACACCACCTGACCAACGTTTCTCTATGTTCATCTGGCAGTTATAACTCAGATACAACAGAGAAAATTAATAAAATTTAAAAAATTTCAGGGTCAAGAGCCCAACTAAAGCAAACACTGATCACCATAACGTTTTATTTTTTATTTTTTCATCCTTCAGTGATTCTGCTTGTTAACATCAGGTGTCTTCAATAATGGTCAATCATCACTCAGTGAATCAATTAATAAGCTCATTAACTTTAACAATCTTGATTGTTAATTTAACATTCACATTTTAACACTTTAACACTCTTGAGTGTGGACTCATATACACGCCCAGGAGTGCTAATTTAACCAATAGTAACCGACTGCAGAACCGCAGAACCATACGTCATAGCAGTGTGAGGACGACAGCCCCAGCCTAACCGTCTGATGCCGGAAGTGGGCGTGGCCAGGCATTGCGCTACTTCTGTGTTTTAGAAAGTTTAAAACAATGCTATTATGAATATATTTTTTAACGATTTCATTCAAAATATATATTTAAGAGATAGGCCTATATATATATATATATATATATCAATCAAATATTATAAAATATAATATTTATAAAATTATAAAGTATAATAACTATGTTTTGTCCTATTAACAAAAGACAGGCAATGTAGCCTATTAACAAATGTTAATAGTGTTTTTTAAGTTAAAATGATACTTTATGCATCTGTTTTGTGTCAAATGATTAACAATATAAATTGAACAAAGCTTAAAACAAACAAAATAATAAAACGAAAACAAAGCTTGAGCATTTGAACATTTGATTTAATTGAAAAGCATTTTTTAAATAAAATGAGTTTTTCCCCCTCTGAAATAGCAAAAGCATCACACACTAGCTGTACCTGCTCCAAATAAATAATAGTAATTAAATCAAAATATAAAATCAAAATAAATCAAATAAATAAATTATATAAAACAAAATCAAACCAAAGAAAATAAATCTTATTAAAGTTATGCAGGCACACATTTAACAATACTTCTCAAGTGACAAATAAACTAAATAGATCAAAACTCCATACACATGGAGTTAATCCTGATGATTCCTGAGGCGCCTTTCGTCATGACACTCGCTTTTATTTTCTTTGGTTTGATTTTGTTTTTTATAATTTATTTTATTTAGTTCGATTTTTATTTTTTATTTAATTACTATTATTTAGCTATTTAGAGCAGGTACATCTGTGTGTGATGCTTTTGCCATTTCAGAGGAAAAAAATAATTGCATTTAATTAATCATTTTTGTTTCAGTCCACCATAGAATTATGTTGTTTGGTCTATGAAAAAAAATTGTTAGTTGTGAAATGGTTGAGTATTAACAAAATAGTTTTTTAAAAGTTAAAATTATACTTTATCCATTTGTTGTGTCAAATGATTAACAATATAAATTGAATAAAGCTTTAAACAAAAATAATAATAAAATTAAAACAAAGCTTGAACATTTGATTGAATTGAAAAGCATTTTTAATAGTAGTATATTGTCTTTTGTTAATAGGACAAATAATTATTATATTTTATAATATTTGATATATATATATATATATATATATATATATATATATTTATACAGGTGAAACTCGAAAAATTCGAATATCGTGCAAAAGTTATTATTTTGATAATTATGGCTTACAGATTATGAAAACCCCGAATTTAAAATCTCAGAAAATTAGAATATTACATGAAATCAATACAAAAAAGGATTTTAAATACAGAAATGTTGGCCCTCTGAAAAGTATAATCATGCATATGTATATATATATATATATATATATACTAAATATATTAGTTTCACCTTTTAATTTGAATTACTGAATTACATGAACTTTTGCACAATATTCTAATTTTTCGAGTTTCACCTGTACACACAACTATATATATATATACACATCTTAAACATATCTTTAATTAAATCGTTTAAACAAATATGTATAATAGCATTGTTTTAAACTTTGAAACGTTCTAAAACACAGAAGTAGCGCAATGCCTGGCCACGCCCACTTCCGGCATCAGACGGTTAGGCTGGCGCTGTCATCCTCACACTGCTATGACGTATGGTTCTGCGGTTCTGCGGTTCTGCAGTCGGACCTATCTCAATTTAACACTGGAGTTTTTGCTGTGTGAACCGTAGTTAACTGACAAGCTGAGCCATATCGCATTAAATATCGCTGGCGATACGTCCGCGATATTAGTGCGATATGGCTCAGCTTGTCAGTGAACTACGGCTAGTTCACTGAAATGCCGCTCCATCTGAAAGCAGGTGAAGGCGATTTACTACTAATCAAGAAACCGGCTTTACTGACGAGATGCGCATAACAATAGGCTTGTTCGACTTCATGCAGCTCTGCGCAGACCGATCGGCGGCAGACTTGAAGCAGTGCATGCCGGTTAGAAATTTTGTCCGACTTGATACAGCGCCGACGCCACGTGACTGTGACGTATGCCATCAAAGTACCGCGAGAGCGATTCGAGAGTAGCCGGAGAACTCAGCCAGCGCAGCTTCTCAAGAGCGGCTGCACGAGCTCTGATGACGACACAGCTGTTCCACGATTGGCCGGATTCACCGCATGACAACGATCACGTGCGTTTCGTGTTTATTCTGCTTATTCTCACACCTTTAGTTCCACTAAAGCTCACAAATCAGTTTTTTTTATAACAGTAAACACTCTTGTCATGTAGTCGCGATGTATTGTGTTATGTTTATCAAAATAAAACTGATTAAAAAAGTTGATTCCACTTCATTGATAGTAGCTGTAGGCTTATGTTAAACTTTATTCTTGTTCAAACAAACGCTGTATGAAGCAGTACATAAAGTATTGAATGAAAATGTCTCTGAAACATCTGTGTATTTGGCAAATATTGCATTTATTTCACTTCAGCTGTGCTAAAGTATACAAACACCACGTGAGCGGTCACTACGGGAACCAGAAAGTGTCCGACTTCACGTCTCCGTTTGCAGCTCCTCCCCGCCTGCACGCGGCTACTCTCGCCGATCAGTTACATCCAGCCGCAGCCGATGTCGAACACACCTAATATCGTGCGATATATCGCCCAGCCCTACAGCCCCTGTGAAGCCATTGTACCCCTAAAGGTACAATTATGTACTTTATTTTCTGAGACTGTATGTAGAGCCAGCCCTGATTGGCTGCTTGAATCTCAATTTAAAAGAACGTCCAGTTTTCGGTCTTTACTTCTTTTGGCCATCGGTGGAGAAGAAGTCAGAGCACGGTTACTCATGGTTCTTACAGGGCTTTCAACCGAGGAGGTCCTTCAGAAAATATCAGAAGCAGGCATAGAAGTAACCGACGTCGAGATGAAAGGAGAAGAAATGGACTTTCAGGCAAATGACTCTTACTCAGATGATAATCGTTTATATGTCACAGTTAGACATTGAGTTTAAAAAGAAATGTTGGAAAATGTGAAAATTAAAAGGATTTAATAATTTCTGATTTTAATTCAGCGTGTGTGTAATATATAAAAAATCTCATTATAGTCAACAATTGTACCCTGTCAAAGCCAATTTTGTACCATTTTTGAAGGGTCCATTTTTGTACTGTTAAATAAAGGTACACAATTGTCACCACAGGTACAAGACTGGTCTCTTAAGGTACAAATCACAAGGGTACAAATATGTACCCTATGCAGCCCCAGTGACAAGCCATTGTACCCCTAAAGGTACAATTATGTACTTTATTTTCTGAGAGTGTAGCATTAAATAATAGTGGGATGTTTGCTGAAATTGTCCAATAATAACCAACTGTCCTTCCTAGAACATTTTCCACCAGCCGACACAGATACGTTTATTTTCCTCCAGTGAATCCTGTGATCTCCATCAGTCTGCTGAAATAATGGAGAGAGATTCACAAGTCTCAACTAAGTGTGTGTTTCATTTGTTTGTTTGTTTCAGATCCACCAAAGAACGTCTCAGTGTCCATCAGTCCATCTGGTGTAATAGTGGAGGGAGATTCAGTGACTCTGAACTGCATCAGTGACTCAAACCCTCCTGCAGAAATCAGCTGGTTTAAAGGAGGAACGATTGTAGGATCTGGAAGAATCTTCAACATCTCAAAGATCAGCTCTGATGACAGTGGAGAATACAAGTGCAAGTCCATCAATGAACATAAAGAGAAATACTCTGATGCTGTGACTTTAAACGTCATGTGTGAGTTAATGATCACCAGCACATTGGTTAAAAACTTAAAATTCATAATTTTCTAATATTTATTGTGAGTCTCAGAGATCAGACGCTGTAACTGTCACAGGTGAAGCTTTTATTAACACACTCCTGTATCTTCACATCATTCATCAGTTTGGAGAGTTAATCATGATGATCTTCCTCTTTCAGTTCATCATGTTGCTGGTAGGAATGTGATTGTGATCGCAGCGGCATCTGGAGGATTATTCATCATCATCATCTTCATCATCATCATCATCCTGTTTATACTGTGAGCTCAATAATAAACTGCAGTGATTGTATTAGTTCACTTTTGTTCTGATGAAGAAAATGACTCTTTGTGATTGATTATTAGTAATCTTTAAAAAACAGCATTCATATTCGTCCATATGCTGTTAATGTCTGTGATTATTACAGAAAGAAACGAAGGAGTGTTAAAGCTGAAGATCACATAGTGAAAGAGGTAAATTAACAATAAATAAAACTAATGAGAACATTTAACTAATTTTTCCATGGTTTAATTCAATATATATTTACAATTTTAATATAGGTTTGTTGGCTAATTGCATAATCATTAACATATTGTGTGATGAATGAACATGTCACTTAATTTACTCATTCCGCCCTGTTCTTCTCCTTTCCATGTGTGAATCAATGAAATAAACATGTATTTTACATCACTACATTGATTTCATCTAAACTAGTACTTGGTCTGAAAAGTTTGAGACAAACTGCTGTAGAAAAGCAGCACCTAATGTATCTTAATTATGTATTTTCTTGTATTTCAGAATGATCTCTATTCTGATGCGTCACGGAGAGTTTCAGTCCATGACGAGCCTCTTTCTGAACCGGATTCAGCCAATGACGCTCCGTATTCCAGTGTGAAACCCAGAAGATTAAGAGGAAAAACTCCTGAATCCAGAGATGCTGAGGAGATCCAGTACGCAACTGTCCAACATCACAGAAAGATAGAGACGAAGAAAGCAGAGGAGAATGAAAGTCAATATGACGATATAAGAGTTTATCAGCCGGATGCTGCAGTGAGGTGAGAAAAAAAAAAAACTTAACCAGTACCAATTAAAAACTCGATTTTCTCTACTTTTTGTTCAAATTTTTGCTTTTTTATGAAACAATAAAATAAAACAGATTTCCATTTATATATATATATACTGTATATATACTGTATGTTCAGATATTCATAAAGCAAAATGGAGTCATACAATTTTTGATAATTTTCACGAAAGTGCTACTTTTCAGACTTTTCAGAAACACTGGCGGGGAAAGAGTTAACCAGCACCAACTTAATTATCAGCTCATAAACCAACTAGTTGTGTTCTGCTCATCTTCCTCTTCAGTGTTATTTTAACTCTCTGTAGAGTGGACCACTATAGACACAGAGAACTGTTCATTTAACATTGGGATTTTGCTGTGTAGCACCAGTTTAACAATCACAGATCATATAATCTGGGCTATAGTTAGTTAGTTAGTTAGTTTAATTTTATTTCTGTGTCATGCCAAACATTTGGCCCATCCCACATCGGATTACAAGACACCACAAAATTATTTTACAAACATCTTCCGGTCACATACAAATCATTTGGAGAAATACATAAATACAAATATATACGTACACACATGTATAGTATACAGACAAATCCTCAACTACAAATCATCTTGATAAAGAGCTTTTTTCCTCTTCTCTCAGGCTTTCTCAAGATAATTGGCTAATTTATATGTGAACAGCCATCTCAATCTTTGATCATTCATCCATTTTGTTCGGTTAGCTCTGCTGGTTGATGTCGTTGTACAGAAAGAATGTTGTGACAGTTGCTCGGTGTGGTGTTAGTCCCGCCCCTCCTCCACTGTGATTGGACGGCTGGGTAAAAAGTGACAGTGATGAGCGCTGCGTTTTACCCAAAGTTGAACATTCTTCAACTCTCGGCGACCAATAAAAACGCCGAGCTCTCAGCGCTTCAGCGTGAAAAAAACTTTCAGCGCCTCGTTGCGCTCATGGCGTTCTAAAAACGCGATACAAGACTAAACAGCTCTTTGACAAAACTCTCAACAGGATACTCACGAACAGGGGTGTAGCAGCCATTATAAAAATGGGGGGACAAAAGCTGTATGGTGATGTGACCCAAAGGTCAGTCCTTCCAGAAAAATGCGGAGTTTTTTTGTGATTGTTGATTTAATCATTGATTAAATGCGGCACGTTTACTTAAAAAATACGATGGAATAAGCGGGATATTTAAGCAATTTTTTGCGATGAAATTGTGGGAACTTACAAAAACTGCGGTTTGATGAAAAAGAGAGAAAAAGTGATTGTATGATATACATTTTCATACATTTGTGCATGTATATTTGCACTTTTATACTATTTATTAATCTTTGATTAAGATATGTTCGCAATGTATTCAGTAAAGATATGTTTTACAAAAAAAACAAAAACATTCAAACCAACCAAAAATAATTATTTGCGCAACATAAAAAAAATTACAATATAAAGATCAGAGGATTAGACAAACATCAATAAACTTATGTGTGATCTTTTCATTTTTTAGTTGTTCATTAATATTGTTCACAGTCATTAAAAATTTGTATGAAATCAATGACAAGCTAAAGGTTCAATTTTGGCACTTTTTCAGACTCCTTTCTTTGTTTCTGTCGCTCTCTGAGCTTAAAAATGAAAGCACACGTGTTTGACACTATGATAAAGCAAGACAAAGTTGGATGAGTTGAAACAGGCCATCCTGAGATGAATTTCAAGAAGTAATTATGTTCTCTAAGTTCATACTGCTTTTTATGACTATGGACTTAAAGGCACCAGCTCAATGGGATTTTTGTTGTTACAGCATTTGAGCAAAAAAATAAAAATAAAAAAATAATACAAAGCTACAAAGTTTAAGTTAAAATAAATGTATTTGTGGTGTGAAGGCATTGTGTATTTGGCCAATGATGTGTGTTTTTGTTGAGGAGAGCATAACGACATCTCTCATTAAGAAACTGTTAACAACGGATATTCAAATGACGCATCGTCTCCAAAATGAGACAGAAAAAGACTCATGGAGGGGGAAACTCAAATTAAATTTGCCTCCTCATTATCAGTGGTCACCATTCAAAGCCAATCAGCTTTCAGCATCACATTAGTGTGTCATCAAACCACAACAGGTGAAGTGAAGAAAAACTTGTGAGATTGAATGGGTCTCTCCACTGATGGCTATTAACAAAGTCCTTTTACACTGTAAAAATGACTACAACTGAAAATGTTAAATCTAATCAATAAAATTGAGGCAACAAATGACAATCAATATTATTAATTAAATTTATCAAATTAGAATTGAGTAATAATTAACCAAATGAATTACTTAAAAGTTAACCATTTAAAATGAGTAAAATTTACACATTTTTCTAAACAAAAATATCGGAATAACAGACTGACGTCAAAGATGAATTAAGAAATCTTTTTTTTTATTGCCATCATTGAAGACACCTGATGTTAACAAGCAGAATCACTGAAGGAGAAAACCGTCAATTTTAAGTCACCATTATGGAGATCGGTGTGTTTTAGTTGGGCTCTTGGCCCTTAACTCATTAACTTTAGATGTTGTTTGGCTGCTGTACGTGAATTATAACAGCCAGATGAACAAATAGAAAAGGTGATCTGATGGTGTTGGTTATGTTTTAACATAATCATTATTTCACAATCATTTGACCTGAATCACTCTAGATTCCGGGAGATTTGAACTAATTTGCGGGCATCAGGGAGCCGCTATCAATCTGCGGGAGACTTCTGATGTCTGATATTACACAACTCACACATACACTGCATATCAAATCTGCCGCCTTTTCAAACAGTAACGTATTTTGCGCTGTCGCAAACCTCAACTGTGCGCATGCGTCAGTGGAACCAGACGATAGGCTTAAATGTTTCCCGGCTTGACTGTTAAAAGCAGACGATTGGCTTTCCAGCGGGAGGGGCGGGACATGTGCAGACAACCGCCATCTTTGGCGTTACGAGTTTTCCCTATATAGTTGTATTAAGGATTGATGAAGTGGCATGTCTCTATATAAATAGTCTCTGCTATTAATGTATAAAGCTCATAGTCTGAATATGACACTATGGGATTTGTTCCGTTGGTGATTGCTGCGATTATAACACATCTTTCATTATCAAGGATATTTTAAGATGGCAAATGGGTGTCATTTGTGTACAGGAGTATAATTTGGGTGAATTTATTTTGGATGGGACACTTTTTCTCAGTCGTCTCAATGGTAAAATGTGTGCCAACCTGATTTCCCCCATATGTAAAAATCAAACTGAAATATTTTATTGATTGGTCAACATTAATTTACATACAATAGCCTATGTGAAAAAGATCCCCTCATGATCCAGGTGATATTTTAGGATTTTAATAATTATAATTACTTACTGTCTCTTACTTTAATCTTCATATTATGTTTTTTAGTTTATTTTGTTTTCTGTTAACTTGGCACACAGTAGCCTGTGATTTTTGCATACAGATGCATTTTCTCTCTTTGGCCAGGTGAGGGAGCCTGATATCTGACAAATCTTTTCTGCTTATTTTTTGTTTAAATAAAATCTTGTAAAAACTTTTCACCAAAGTGTCACCTCACTTCCTGTCACCATGGAGACACTAGTCTCTCTATCTCTTTACGCCTGAATTTATATAGCTGTATAAAAAAAATGTTTTATGTGTGTTTTTGCCTTTAAGTAGATGGTAAATAATGTTGAGATTATCAATTTCACTTTTGCACAACAAATAAATCGAAATTTTGGTATGTCGCAAATTTGCAACAGCGGGCATAATGGTCAATAATAAGATAACAAAAAACACAGTAAAATAACAGCTAAAAAACAATGTTTTATTTATTCACCCTTTTTTTTAACTTATTTATATAAATCTGCAACAGCAGGTATTTAATAATAAGAATAATGACACTTTCATGTCACCAACACAATATACACAAACGTTACTGTTACGGCTATAGGAAACATTGAATTCATTTGAATTGTAGATTGATT